ATGCACCGCCGCGGTGGAGATTCGGGGTAAATCGCCGAATTCCAACGGTTGACCGTCCGTTGGTCCAAGTCGCCAGTCGGAAAGATTCAGAATTTCACTTCTTCAGCTCTTGTGAGTACGCTTACATAAACTTTAAACTTTTGCATAAACGTTTTTCGGTTACTCGTGCTAATCTCTTCAAAGTGAAAGCTGAACAGTTAGTAATGGCCGATTGCTTTTTCCACCTCTCACTCATCAGCATCACGGAAAGACAAGAAAAAAAGGTAGAAGGATAGAGGGAAGTAGCGGTCCCAAGAGGTGTATTAGGCGTTTTGATGACTCGACTCGACACGTCGACATTTTCTTTCGACATCGTCGTTTTCTTGCCTTTGATCTGCAACATATATTTCACCTACTAAAACACGATTACTGAACATCCCCTGCCCCTGCATTCAAGGGTAAGTATAATATTATATTTTGGTTGTTTGTACCATGCACTGTAGTGTCCATACTAGAAATGCGGCCAGCTGCTACTTTGATCGACAATAATTATATTCTTCTACGTTGTATCTCTACTTGGGAACATTTAAGTGTCATTCATATTTCTTCAATGATATTATTCTTTTAAGCTCAGGGATGAAGAGCACCTACCTCTGCCACTCAATTTGCAAACTTTTTTTCTCATTGTCCTGTTTTAAAGAACTGTTTGGTATCGATACTGCTTTTTCATTCCATGGTTGTTGATATCGTTTCACCCTATTCAGACGATCGTTTGAGTATCTCATCAGAGAATGTCCCATATTTCTGCAGTAAAATAATTAAGTATAAACGCATGTAAATTTTTGAAACATGCAATGAAATAAGCATGAGCACTTGTAGATTCACCATTGCAATGCAGTTGCTGACCAGACCAGCGTCCCAATTTTTAAAACTATGTCAGCTTGACACAGCCCTATCTTAACAATGTAATATATCTCACCAATATCTTATCGGCCCGCTTTAATTTTTTAATAATCAGTTAACATATGCTCAACTCCCTCTCCATGGACTTTTACTTAAGTATATTTCACAATGATATCAAGCAAATATAAATTATGAATTTCATTTTGGAAACCTTCTTTGGAAAGTCAGACAACTGGTTAAAAGTCTCTGCATGCTGAGGGATCAGATATTGATGGTGTAAGTCGGCAATCACATAACTCGGTTTGCGACGTCGCAGACTTCCTGTCATACTTGATTTTTTAAACGGGAAACTACTCAACAGCAATTCTTTAAAACTGCCAAGATTTTTCTTCTCTGCGAAGAAAATTCTGGATAAACTTCAAGGAACGATGTCAATTTGTTCCCCTTTAAACAAATAACATAGAGGCGGAGATTTTTAGACACCGCAAACGAGTTATGTGATTGCCAACTGACACTGTCAATATGTCAGGTACTTAAGGTCAAAATCTATCCAACATCACCAGTTGGATCATACCTGGTGGCAAGCAAAATGGAGTGAAAGCGTGTCGTTAAATTATTGTGAAGTAAACTGCTGGATCATGAGCAGCATGGATTTATGTGAATTTTCACTTTTTTTACAGGAGTACAGTCTCACCCAATAATCTGATTTTTATGAATATAGAATGGTTTGATGTTTTTGGCTATAACTGGACAAAAATATTCAAGGAAAGCTTTTCTTATAGGTGGAAACTCAGATCTCCCCAAAACCCTTACCCATGTACACAATTGGTCGGTTGCATTCGTCATTGCCTTTTTTACCTATTTCGGCTTGCTTTATTTCGATTAGGTTTAAGTAAAATATTTTTTCCCTTCACTTATAATGTGATTCAATTGTGTTAAGACTCATTGGGTTAATTTTGCCCAGGACTTCCATTAAAAATCCCATTTCATGAATACATGAGAACATTTTCTTTCCTAAGAAGGAAAACCACTTATTTCAATGCTCTTCTTATGATCCCTTGTTCTATCATTAGGCTAATTTGCAGAACTGATCAGTCATAGGGGTGATGCAGGGCTTTTGAATTTCCCTGTCTAATTGCAAAATCTGCCAATGGACCACTAGACAAGGTACGAATTTAAGCAATCTGATACTTGTTTCGTAACCAGAATTTCACGTAGAACACGATTCACACTACGAAAATTACCGAAATCAACTTCTAACGAAGATATTAACGTTTTTATTTCGCACTGATTACAAGGAATTTGAACTGCCTGCTTACAAGAAACTCAAAGCTCTACGAGAGTCAAATCGCGCACTACAACAGTTTCAGCAAGCTTTTCAATCGAGCAATATTCATTTTCCACCATGTGTTGTTCAAACTATTGGTAATTTGCTATAGCTGAGCCAAAGTGTCAAGATTGAAGTTGAAGATTTTTACATCGCTGAGACTGTCATGATAAACATTTAGCGCGCGATGTGAATCACGTAGAGCATTGAGTTTTCATGAGCGGGTGGTTTGAATTCACGCATCAAGAATCATTAAATATCTTCGTCAAGAGTTGATTTTGGTAATTTTCGTTGTGCGTATCGTGTTTTACGTGAAATTTTGGTTAAGAAACATGTATCAGATCGCTTGAATTTGTACCTAGTCTAGTGGTCCATTGATTTGGATTTAATTGCAATCACTGTCCCTTAGTCAGGTACACTTAGACTACATTTTGCAATTAAGAACTATAATTTCTGGCTCAGTTTAGAAACAACGTATGTACCATCAGTTTCCTTTTGCACATACGTGTTTGTACAGATAAGCCAGAAATTATAGTTCGGAATTGCAAAATGTAGTCCGTTTATCATACATAGTTATGCACCATACATGCAAGTTTGTTACACATATGTATCGTAGATTTTAAAGTTAGTAATGTACCTTTGTTCCTGCACACTCTGAATATTATATTGTTTAAGTGCGAAAGACTTCCCTTACGTAAAATGTCACCAAAATGCTAGTATTTCTCGACTTTTCTGTTTATGAGATCCCTTCTTTCTGAGAATTTAAGACCTATATGCTAATTTTTGTTGCAGATAATGGAGTTTGATTGCAGAAGACTACCCTTAGTCTCACTGGGGCTGTTCCAGGAAAGTTCTGAATTTTTCCCATATAGCCACACTCAAGATCCAGTAGACACAGGTTAACTCTAAAATCCTAGAAATTAAAAGATTCACCGACAAATTAAGTATAAGTAGGTAAGTTATTTTTATTCATAAAAATCAGAAAGATACATATGAAGGGCTAGAAGGACAAGGCACATAAGTGCAGTTTTTGCTATCTCAAGAAATTTGTGTACACCTAAAACATACATAATGTATGTACACACAATTTATACCAAATACACAGCTGAATGTCTCTAAATAAATTAAATAACTAACTAACTAATTATATGTACATACAAATAGTGATGAATTTTTCACAGAATATATTTTGAAACTGTTCTCAATTGAAATCATTGATACCTATCTCAATTTTTCATAAACAGCACTTGTGCCCATTGTCTTCCAAGCCCTTCATAAAGAATGTGAATATTTTCACTGGTTTTCAGAGTATGAACAGTTCTTAAAGAGGAACTATCCCTGACCATTCCTGAAGGGGCCTATTCAGTTTATGTTCAAGTAAATAATTCTGCAGAATTTATAACTTGATCATGAGAAATTTCAACCTTGTTTTTACTCTGTACACAGCAGAGTGAAGAACCTTAAAAATTATTTGATGCTCATAGTTTGTGAGGTACCGTATAAAAATTTTATTCCAAAACAATGAGTAAAAGGACCTATACTTTCAGAAAAATGTGACAAGAATGTAGAAGTGTTACCCAGCAATTAGTACATTTGTTTTCGAAAATTGGTCACAGTATAGTTGAATCACTAAATACAAAAAGGGCACATGTCCAGAAAACCAAATTGTTCAGGAGACACAAAAAAATGTTTTTTTTTTCGTGGTAGATATTTTTTTAAACATAACGACTTTCCAAAAAATATCTACCAC